CTAAAATTTTAATTTTTTTGGAGTTTCTTCCCTTTCTATTGCAAAGACACCATATATAAAGATAATGCTACAATTAATTACAATCAGTGATAAATAAGCATCACAGAATTGCAACTAGTTGCAACATTAATAAAAATTAAGTTATAACTAGTTGTAACTAGTGATAAATAAGTATCACATGATTACAACTAGTTGTAATACTATCTTTAGTTATATAGAGTAAAAAGATTTTGCTTAAATATTACTTCTTATTTGTTATTTAAAATAAAGTCAAGTTATTAATTATTAGTCTTATTCTAAATTTTATTAGTCTGAGCAATACAAAGAACTTTTACATACTAGCTATATATTACATGAAATATTCTATTATTTATCTGCTCAAAATTTGAGTCAATACGTGATTATTTTTTTTCATTAAACTTATGTTTCAGATTTAATAATAGTTTCTAAAAATATTCCTTAGTAATAATTAATTATATAAAAAGTTTATTTTATTGTAGTATATTTATCTGTTAAGTCTAAAATAAATATCTTTATAATAACTTTATTTTCTAGTATCCTTTATTAATTTTTTTATATACTGAATAATATTATTTATATAAGATTGCTCATAATTTATTTTTATATACATCCTAAACTAAAAATTAACCTTTTGATATAATAAATATTATACCTTATAATTGTTTCATTTTTATATTTATTTATTCATCAAAAGTTACTGTAACTTTATTTTTATTATTTTTATAATATTTTATTAAAGAAATTTAGTTATATTCTTTAATATTCTATTACAAATTGCTTTATAATTAAAAAAAGTAAGTTTAGATACAACAAATTTAAATAATACTTTAGTTTTTTTATTTATTTATAAAAGAAAAAGAAAAACTATTTAATATTATTATCTTAAGAAATAACTGTTCAAATCAAAATACATTATTTGTTAACGTTTAATGATAATATAGTGGCTAATAAAAGAAACACAACAACTTATTTTTAGTTTTAAACACTTATAACTTATTAACTACAAATGCTAGAAACATAATTTTTGATTCATTTTAATCCTTACATTTGAAAAACATCCTATAAAAATTTATTGGCCAATTAATAATGCCAATTTTGTATAATGTAAAGATCTACATTAAAAATAGTACTTAATGACTTTTGAGCTTAGAAAACTTTTTTAAGCGGGCTAGCTATCATAAAACTGATATTGGATTCCGATTCTCCTCTGCGTGACGATTCCAACAAAAGCTAAATTTCGTCCAAATCGGACCTTCCGATCAGGAGTTATCGCGCAGCAAAGATCGGCATTTTACTATAAAAAATAAGTCTAACCAATTTTATATAGTAAAATGCCAATCTTTGCTGCGCGATAACTCCTGATCGGAAGGTCCGATTTGGACGAAATTTAGCTTGTTGGAATCGTCACGCAGAGAAGAATCGGAATCCAGTATCAGTTTTATGATAGCTAGCCCGCTTAAAAAAGTTTTCTAAGCTCAAAAGTCATTAAGTACTATTTTTAATATAGATCTTTACATTATACAAAATTGGCATTATTAATTGGCCAATAAATTTTTATAGGATGTTTTCCAAATGTAAGTATTAAAATGAATCAAAAATTATGTTTCTAGCATTTGTAATTAATAAGTTATAATCATTTAAAGCTAAAAATAAGTTGTTACGTTTCTTTTATTAGCCACTATAATATAAAATTAAAGTTTGTTGTTAACTACTATCCTATCTGTTTATTGAAATAAACCTTTATTTTATCTCAAAATATATTAAAATTTATTTAATTATAATTATATTTCAGCATAAATTGATAAATTACTAATTAAATTATATTTTAATAGATGTAATTATTTTATTAATAATTTATAATAAATATTGAATTGACATAATTAATTTTGAAATCATCAAAATTAATTAGTATTAAAGTATAATTATAATTATTATTTATTCACAAATCTGATATAATAGTATAATCTACTAAAGTTAATATCAATCATAATCTCTTTTTTAAATTATAACTAATAGCATTTAAACTTATAGCAGTATTACTAGTAAAATCAAAATAAAATATTTATAGTATAACTGATGTGACTTTCTTAATATAGGAATACTATATAAATATTATAAAATTAGATAATAAATATATTTAAATATTTAAATATTAATTGTATTTTCATTATCTTATTAAATATATTCTTTTATATTTATCATGTATAATAATGAAACAAGTTTTTGTAAGTCCTAACTAACATATATATTTTTAAAATTTTATTTATTAAATATTCTATACATAATTAATTATTTCTAAAATAACTTTAGTGTAAATTAATAAATTATTAATTAAATTATATTTTAATAAACGTAATTATTTTATTAATAATTTATAATAAATATTAAATTAATATAATTAATTTTAACATCATTAAAATTAATTAATGCTAAGTAAATTTTCTAAATAATTTTTTTGATAAAATCTAGAAATAATATGAATTATTGATGATTTTAAAAATAAATTATAAAAAATCTTAATATACTAACCTATATATATTTATTGAAATATAAATATTAATTCTTTATAAATTAATATTATTTTACAATATTAATTGAAAAAAATTCTTAAATATTAATATACTTATAAAATAGTTTTTAAAACAAGAAATTATTTAATTGAATATAATTATTTTTGAGACTATTATGATTATAAGCAGTAATTTAATATATAAAACTATCATTATTAGGATTGCAAATATTTGTATTATTATAATGAAATTTATTCATATTATTAGCAGTTTTAACTAAGTATTTAAAATATATTTTAAAATTTAATTAAAGAAAATTTTAAGTATTATTTAATCTTATATATTATTATTTACCTATAATTGATTAATAAATAATTGTGATATAAGATTTTTATAATGACTAGTATGATAAAATTTATTATATATTTTATTATTCTGATAGGTTTTCAACTGTGTAAAAAATCTAACAAATAATACAAATGTAAATGCAATATAAAAAGATGTAAATTGATATATCATAAGGTATTTATAAATCGATTTACAAATGTTTGCTAATGTATTATGTAGATTACCTATCTAATTGACTTTTTGAGCTTATAAAAATTTAATAATTTTATAGTAAAGTTAGCAATAATTATTATATTCTATACAATATTGAGGAAGTAATAACTGCCTTGAATTTTTTATTAAAATGTTAAATTATTTGATTTACTTAAAGTTGAAGCTGATATATTCAAATTTATATTGATAATGAGATAAAATTTAATTTGCAAAAATTTAAAAATATTTAACATTTTAGATTATTATTTAAATCATTATTGATTTCTTACTAATTTTTTCAGACTTTTTTCTTTTAACAAAAACTTACATCTCTTTATTATATTATTCTGCTGTAATAGCATCAAAAAGATCATAAAATTTATTAGTTATAGATTTTATGCTTACTATACATTCAAAAAGATGCATCTAATACTTTTATTAACTTGTATCAAAAGATAGAACATGTTTATAAACTATGTGAAAATTATGAAAATAGCAAAATTACTGATCTGAAAATCTATTTATCCCGTTAACAGAAAGATAATTCATTAATTCCATTATAGTATTTCAGATAATATGTTATTTAATTGTTTTATTCAACTTATCCAATTTCATCTTGATGGTTTAATGTTTGGATTAGAATTAAAATCTAGTTAATTTAAAGTCTTTTTTTTGTTTGCTTTATTTATTTATTAATCATAACTTCCTCATGATCTTTCAGTTGCATTTTGTATTCTACAAATATTATAAGAAAAAATTTGGAAATGATCTACAAAAAATGTAAAGGTTCGGAAAAAGAAGTAAAATATTTGAAAATTTAAATCAAATCCTAGCACAAAGATAATAAAATAAAATTCAGTTGAGGAGGAAATTCTTCAGAGAAACTTAAGCATTTATTATTTGAAAATCATACAAATATTCCGGAACAAAGAAGTTTTTAATAAAAAGCTAATTGTAAAAAAATTCAAAAATTCTCCATACGTAAAGTTGCGGTAAAATCAACCTTTTTTTTTCACAATTATATTTTACAATTGTACACATTTCTAAATATGCGATCGGCAAATTATCACATGACCGAAAATACAGCCGTATATTGTACATAATATTCATCGAAATAAGGAGGGTTATGTTAAACGAAAAATCAAATTGGTGTGGCCTAATCAGCAAATGCCCAATTAATTTATATTGTTTATATTGCTATAAAAAGCAAAGATTTTTAATACATTTCGTGCCGGGCTCAAATTACTTTTGTAAATCAGACCCGACGAGGGTCTTCCTTTCCCAAGTATAGTACCTTGATACGTTCTTCCTTATTTGTTTGTATCAATGCCTATGATAAATGTCACGTTTTCTGAAAGAGATCCTCATTTTGGTAATATGGGAAGATTGCAGAATTAAGATCTTATTACAATAACATCAAGATCTAAAATGCAATAAAAATCAAAAATTTTTCCTGTAGTGTGAAAATTGTAAATAAGGAAGAAAGGAACGTGAGAGAAATGGCGTAAAAGTCGTATCAAGATCAAAAAGTATGAAATCAGATGCACACTACGCATTGTGCAAATCAACCAGAGTATTCGGAGTACTAATTCAAAAACGGCCGACATTCAAAAAATGATTAATTTTTTCATTATATTATAAAAGGTTCCATTTACACAATCATTGTGAACATTATGTAAAATATTATTTATTTTACAAATATTAATTAAACTCTTTAAAGCCTATTAAATAAAAAAATTTTTTTTTTGTATTAATTTAACTATATTTACAATCAGATTATCATAAAAAAGTTTATATAAAGCTAAATATTGAAGGCTTGGGAAAATCTTGTTTTCCACATTAAACTCAATCGTTACTCTTTTGAATCGTGTTTATAAATAGGCCCAATTTAAAACAAAAAAAAAATTTTTTTTCAATAATAACCGAAAAATGGCATCTCCTGATATTACTCTTCACACTTACTCAACTTCCAACGGAGTAAAAGTTAGCATTACTCTTGAAGAATTAGGACTTCCTTATAAAGTGAATTTTGTTTCTCTTGAAAATTTAGAACAAAAGCACCCCGAATTTTTGAAAATCAATCCAGTAGGAAAAATTCCTGCTCTCACGGATCATGACTTTAATGTATTTGAAAGTGGCGCTATTATGCTTTACCTTTGTGAAACTTATGATCTTGAAGAGAAATTATTGCCAAAGGATCCCAAGTTAAAAAGTCAAGTTATACAATGGGTATGGTCAAATTTCTTTTTGTTCTCATGAATGAAATCAAAAAAAAAAAAGGTTTAATCCCTCTTACTCTTATTAGGTTATGTTCCAAATGGCTGGACTCGGACCTATGCAAGGACAAGCTAATTATTTTAATACTTACTCACCAGAACATATTCCATATTGCATTGAACGATATACTAAAGAAACCAAAAAATATTACACCATCTTAAATGATTTCTTGGAAAAGAAGGAGTATTTAGTTGGAAATAGGTATACTTTAGCAGATATTGCAAATTATTCCTCGGTTAAGTTCCACCTTCTTTGTGGAATTCCAAATCTAGATGATTTACCAAATTTAAAAGCTTGGGTGGCTCGTATTGATGCAAGACCTGCTACTCAAAAAGGCATAGATGTACCTAGCACTGGGCTTAGAGAATGTATTGAAAATCCTGAAAAGTTGGAAGAATTATCTCAAAAAATTAAAGCTGTTTTTAAAAAAATGCAAGAAAATAAGTAAAATCTTATCTGATTATTATTTTTTTTTTTCCTTTAAATAAAAATCTTAATTGCTAAATTGTGTTTCAGAATAAGTGCGTCAAATTTTGATTACAAAAACTTTCCGAGTTTGTTTAATCGAGTTCGTCTTTGATGTATCATTTTTAATAAAAGTCATGAAATAACACTTTTTTTTTTTTGATTTTATCTTTACCGACAATAAAAATTTTCTCATTAAATGAATGAATGGAGTTAATTGATCTTTAGCGTTTGTCAAATTAAAGTTAAATAAAGTTGTATTGCGTAAACTTAAATGTTAATTTTCTTAATTATTGTGATAGGTATTATATTTAATTATTTAATTACGGCAATTAGAGAAAGAACTGTTAATGATAGGCTAAATATTAGTTTAAATTTTGAATAATTTATATAAAATATTATCGTTATATGTCAATATTGTATTTGGTCTAGAACATGTGATCGATCATATTTATTATTTTATTATGATCAATCAGATAAAAGGAAAAGCAAAAAAAAACAAGGCAAAAAACGAGACGAAAGAGTTAGCAATGCTTGAAAAGGAGAAAGAATTTTTACAGTAAAACATGTGCTGCTAGTGGTATCAAATTTGTCATAGGCAAAGCAAGTGACAAAACCATTAAATTGATAGAGAATGCAATAATACTAATAAGAAACAAAAAGTGGTAGCAGTAATGATAAAAGTTTTACTGTCAGCAGTGATGGCCTTATGGACTATTGGACTATTGAACTATTGGACTTAGTCCAATCCAATTCCAAATTTTATTGGACTATTGGACTTATATTTAGGTCCATTCAAATAAAATTTTTATAATTTAATACTAAAATTTGCTTTTATATTATAAATTCATTATTTATTATTATAACAACATATATATTATTTATACTAATACTAAACTATTTATTTATTACCTAATTATTATTATTTATAAAGTTTTTAAGTATTTAAGCATTCCTAGATTTTCAACAAAAATATTTTGAAATTTCTATTTAAAATCTTTATTTATGGCAGGATGAGGTAAATTAAAAATATTAGTTAAAGAAATATCTTCTTCTTCTTCATCTTTATTGTAATAATATCAGTATTTTCTAAATCTAAATCATATTTTAATATATTTATCCATCTTGAAACTATAATTTGCTAATCATTTACTATTTGTATATTATTTTCTATATCAGATAATTTATTATCTAATATATCAGATATATATTTAACATTATTATTAATTTCAGCTAATATAGGTAATACTATATTTGTAATATTAAACTTATATATTTTCTCATCAATTTTTTTAATTTTAATTCTTATTATATAGAAACTCATATTTATATTATAGTAAGTACTTTTTCAGACTAATATAAAATAATAATTTATTAATATATTATAATTTATAAATAAAATAAATAAATAAAATTCTTATTTCTAATTGATTTCGTTATTTTGAATATAACCATTCTATTATAGAAAATGGCTTTTTAAAAATGCTGTTTTTACTGCAATTAAAAAAATTTGTTCTGCTATTTAATAAAGTTCCTTTGAATATCTATATATATAATTCCAAAATCACAAAATATCTTGATTAAATTGATGAACAATAGCATTATTATATGGATTTTTTTATATGTTTCTAATTTAACTAATAATGATATTAGTTTTTCATTAACTAAGCAATATAATAATAAGTAACCTATCAATCAAGATAAGAAAAAAAAAGATTTTTTAATAATAGAATTAAATTTAGAGATTGTTTCTAATTAGTCCATATTTTTCTAGTTTTTTTAAAAGTATTTTATTTAAACTTTTGTTAGTAAAAGATTATAAAACTGTAACTATATTTCTAAAACTATGAAGTACTTTATGCAATCAAGAATTATAATATTATAATTGATTTAATGTAACATAATAAGAAAGCATAATCATTTCTAATCTTTTCACCAATTATTATCTAAAATATTTTTAAGATATTCATTAGAAAAATTATAAAGATCATTAGTAGCACTTAATTCTTTAAAAATATCTCCTATATAAAGATTCATTTAATGTATAAAACAAGATAAAAATAACTTCTCTTGATATAGAATTTATAGATATTTATTATTATATTAATTAAATTTTTAATTAAAATTTCTTAATATTAAATTATTTAAAATTTTAAATTATATTTACAATGTCACAATATTTTCTAAAGCTGAATTCATAATTGGTAGTATTTAAAGTATCTTTAAAGTTTTGAAAACTCCTTCTCTTTTCTTCAGCAAAAGGTTATTTATAAATACTTGACTAAGTGGTAATAACAATTCTTAGATTTGTCATCTTTGCAGTCTTCTGATAAAATCTTTTTTTTAAATTTTCAATACATGATCTAATAGATTAATTTAATGTAGTATAAAGTAATTGATTATAATATAATAAGCATAAAGCTTGTCAAAAGTACACTTGTTAAAGGTTGATAGTTAGCATAATAATAGCTTATTTAAATGTAATTATACTTTATTTATATATTATTATGCTTTAAAGTTATCAATAGTCCAATTAAAAAAAGTTTGATTAGCTTCTGAGAGTTCAGAGAAATCAGTACTAGAGTTACAAGTAAGACAAAAAGAATCTTTAGAAGTAGTTTTGCAGTTCTAATATTTTAGTTAATTTTATTGTATAATTAGTGATAAATTTTCTGATACTTTAATAAATTGTCAAATGTATTTATAAGGGTACATCAATAGTTATTTTAGTTTTGCAGTAATATATAAATAGAAAAAGAGGGTTATGTTATCATTACCAAATATTAACATGCAATCTTTTCAGATATAACTATTAGACATGGTATTAGAAAGTTGACTCTTTTATAGTTTACATATAATTCTAATCAGCTTTATATTAAATTTTAGTTGTTTTACTATTAGCTTTATCAATTTGAGTTGAATTTACTAAATGTGAGTGGCTTTAATTATAAACTGAGATTTATGCAATAATACAAAGAGTTTTCACAATAGAAAATAAAAAATACTTTATTTAGATAAAATAAAATAATAAATAATAAAATATAAGAAAATTAAAAAAGAGAAAATAAATAAGAAGAGTATATAAAGTAAAGGGTAATATTGTGCTAACTTTTATAAGAGAGAGATTTCTATACAATCATTGTTCTATCTTTTCTAATTTACAAAAAGCTTATATTTATATCTATTCTATTATATATGTTGACATGTCAAATATATTAACTATGTTAACTATATTAATTATATTAACTATATTAAATATATCTAATATATTAAACATATTAAACATATTTAATATGTTTAACATTTTTGATATTCTGTATTTTGTCACATATTTGCAGATATATGATCATTAAGATCAATAATGTGACTTAATAATATAGTGATCATATAATATTTTGAACCTTATTTACATGAATCATATTTTAAAATATATTTTCAAATAGTAATGATAATTTTCAGAAGAATAATACTCAACCTCACAAAATGAAGTAGGTGAAGAATTTTTATATAGAAAATAATTTGTATATTCTTTTATGGCTTGCTTAAAGTTCAAATATCAATTTGATCAAAAATCTATGAACTGATATCAAGAAAAGCATCTGTAAAAAGAAAAAAATACCTTTTAACATTACTAAACTAAAGCGATATATTAAAAAATCATAAAGAGAATTTTTTATTAATACTATCAAAAATTTGATCAAATATATAACATAACAAATTTAGGTTGCAATTAAAGCAAATAGAACCCTAGTTAAATATTAATTAATTAGTATGAAATTTATTTTATAAATCATTTTTAATAAATATTTAATAAAATTTTTAATTAAAATTTAAAAATTTTAAATAATTTATTTAGTTAAAAAACATTTAGAGATTTTTAATAACTCTCTGTATATCAATTTTTTAATTTTTTAAAATAACTTATTATCTAATAATTATAAAAAAATAAATTTTAGTTTATTTATTAAGATCTATTAAATGATTATATTTTTATATTTATAAGGTCAATAGATAGTAAGATATATAAGTTTAAATTTTAATTTTTTTTATAATAATTTATTATATATTTAATTTAGCTTGAAAATATTTAAATTATTATAAATAATTTTAATTATTAAATAAAATTGAAGGTAAGTTTATTTGCAATATACTTAAAAGGATAAAGTTCTTCATTTCACTTTAAATTAATATCTAATTATAATAAGTGTAATATACTTATACTATACTAAATTAAAAAATATAAATCATTATTAAGTCTTTAATTAAAAAAATTCACACTGATATTTACTTCATTTAAATTTTTATACAATTATAAAAGCCAATTAGTATTGAAACAAATTGACAATAAGAATATTTTATATAATAAATAACTAGTATTATAGAATCTTTTGCTTTATTTTAACTAATAAAATCTTAGTATAATATAATAATTATATCATATGATTTATTGTATATTTATATTTTTTATTAATTGATTATTAAAAATAATAAATATTAAAATAATAATATAAAGTATCTTTGAATATAATATGTAAATTCCATTTTGCATTATAATTTTAAGCTAAATCTTTAATATCTATATCTACAAATTCAGATTCTTTTATATCTTTAAATATTTCTAATCATTTAGTTAAATTTTTATTAAAACTTTTTGAAATTATACTTTTTTAGTATAGAATAATCAAAAATTTATGTCTTTCAATTGAGATTTTAATGAATAGATTATTAGAGATAGCAATAATAATAACTAATAATTTTCAAAAAAAGAATTTATATCTTTATATATAAAAATATGAGGCCTTTGCAGTAGAAAAGTCAGAAACTACTCCAAAAACGAAAAATGGATTTTTGCTATATTTGGGTAAATCTTGATATGGGCTACATTTTTCAATTATAAATGGAAATTGATTTGCATAGTAAAAAATCGAGATAAATCAGATTTAAGCGA